CACACGGGCCACACTGGCCCTTCCTGGGCCTGCAGGTCGGGCTGGAGAGCGTGTCCACGCGGCGCCCGAGCGAAATGCAGGCCGGCGGCCGGGCCTCTGCCCTTCGATTCAACGTCGCAGAGATTGTGCTGCCACACATGGAAAGTGTTACTTAGAGTACATTTTACAATATTAACTTACATTTTGCAATAAAATAATGTGGCTTCCTAGTCCCGTTTTTGTTAGCACGAGCAAAACACAACATCTGAGACACTAGCAGCGATTATTAATTCCTTCAAAAGCGAAAGAACGTGCCCTAAAAACCAGAGCGTCGGCCCTGACCGGTGTGGCTCAGTGGATAGAGCGTCGGCCTGAGGACTGAAGTTGCCAACATGGAAAGTGTTACTTAGAGTAACATTTTACAATATTACAATATTAACTTACATTTTGCAATAAAATAATGTGGCTTCCTGGTCCCGTTTTTGTTAGGCAGCACGAGCAAAACACAACATCTGAGACACTAGTAGCGATTATTAATTCCTTCAAAAGCGAAAGAACGTGCCCTAAAAACCAGAGCGTCGGCCCTGACCGGTGTGGCTCAGTGGATAGAGCGTCGGCCTGAGGACTGAAGGGTCCCGGGTTCGATTCCGGTCAAGGGCATGTACCTTGGTTGCAGGCACAGCCCCAGTAGGGGGTGTGCAGGAGGCAGCTGGTCGATGTCTCTCTCTCATCGATGTTTCCAACTCTCTATCCCTCTCCCTTCCTCTCTGTAAAATCCAATAGAATATATATTAAAAAAACAAAAACAAAAAAACAGAGCCAGGCCAGGAGCCACGGAGGGGATGGCGTCCACAGCAGCTCCCGGAGAGCCAGGCGGTGCCGGCCTCCCACACCCACACGCCCACACACTTCGAAGAGGCCTCCGGGCCTCCTCAGAAACCGCTGCTTCGACGTGGAGGCTTTAGGAGTCTCTGGCCAATCAGGTGACCAGGACAGGTGGGCAGCACCGGCGTCCCAGCCGGTATCGGCCAGCAGACAGCGAGCCCACAGGGAGTAGTGGCCAGTCCCGGTGGGGCCCGGGGAGGGGCAGCGAGATCCCAGAGCAGAGGAGGCTGGACAGGCAGGGAGGCCGATGGGCCCTCCGATCGTTGGGCCACTGGCCAGGGCAGACTTACCCAAGACAGTTAACGTGGGAAAGCATCGTGCCTAACAGCATCGAGATACGACCAGCAAGGAAAACTGTTAACAGTTTAACTTACACAAATCTAGTCACAAGGTTAAGTTCGTTAAAATTAAATCAAAGCAGAGACTTAAAATCTGTGCTTATTTTCATAAATAGTGAAGCCTGCAGGGCAAGGGACAAGACTAGAAAAGAATATGAGTTATGTGCACGTGTGTGTTGTGCATAAATCGATGCGGCGCATGTGTGCATGTGTTCGTGTGTATTGTGCATGGCCCATGTGTGCCCATGTGTGCATGTGTGTGCATGCGTGTGCATGCGTGTGGTGCAGTTCTAAGTACATCCTGGACACGGGGAACCACTGCTCTACACCATGGTCTCTAACCTCGCACACCCCTGAGGTGGACAGGGCAC